CTCCCTCCCTCGCAGCTGAAAGCTCGTCTCGCGATGTGGGGCTGTTGAAAACCAGACCCCTTTTAGGCTCCTGCGGGGCAGTGCTTGTCAAATTACAGGGAACTACGAATAATTTGAGGGACTGTGTGATGCAGGGTGTAAAGCAAGATGCCGGCTTGAGTTGAAAGCCTCACATCAGCCTCCCCGCACTCGACTCCACTCACCTTCTAGAGCACTTTCAGCTGGGAGTGACCTTCGGTTGCAAGCTTTGTTGAGGAAGGACGAAGGACCGGGATTGGTTGGAGGTTTCCCTGTCCTTGCGCTGTTTTGGGCGACGACTCTGAATGCTTATATATGCTCGTGTTAGGCTTTGGTGCCCATACTAACTACAAAAAGGAGGGAAGATCGCAGGGCCAAGCCCTGAGTCAACAACATTTTCGGTTCCTCGTGCTTTCTAGGCAGGATTTTGCAGGCGTGTTGCTGGTGTTTTGCAGCTTTGCCGGTGGAGTTCAGTGGCTCGGAGTTTAGATCCAAAGTCAAACCAGCAATACCAAGAAGACAGGCGAAGTACCAGAAGCCACCTTTGCCTCCAAGCAACAAAAACCCTGCGAGAGACAAAGCTCTGAAAGCCACACAATTTCCAGGTATCTGGTGTGCAGCCTGAGCTTCCTCTGTGGCGTCGTGTGCTTCATGTTGTCCACAATGTGCCGCGTGCTCGTGGCTCCCTGGCAGAAATGCCAATCCACCTAAACATCAAACCCCTTCGAACCCTGGACTCTACAGCGCTTCAAGCCGTGAACCTTATCCTTGAAGCACAATGAATCTGAAAAAAACCGAACTCCGTCGATTTGGGGATTTCCGAGCTTCTGGAAGCTCGTATCATACCAATTAGAGCGTACCTGATTCAGCCGAATAGAGGGGAGCCCAGGTGCCAAACCCAAAATCTCAGAAATCAGCGACTTGCCCAAAGTTTCAGAGCTTGAGGTTGGAATTGTCCAAGAGGTCACATACTTCTACAGGAAGGAGCCTTTCCGGACAGCTTGAGGTTTTCATATGCGCCGATGGGCCGCTGCCCGGCGAGCCGGATCTGTGCTTCACGGTCGCCGCGATGATGCTGCTGGGCCGGTGATCGTGTCAAGCAGTGGAGGAAGAGGTCGAGTGAGGAGGAGGGACTCGTGCGGCCGCAGGAACTGGAGGAGGAGGAGGAGGCTGAGGAGGTAGAGCGTAGGCTCTCCTGCAGCAAATTAATGTAGGTGTAGGAGTAGGAGAAGGAGTAGGAGGTGGAATTGGAGCATCCTCGCTATCAAGTAGTCGTGGTCAAAGCCTCCGCGTTACGACACGGTTTTTTACTGTGTTTTCGTACTGTCCTATCAGTTCTGATTTGGCAGTTTCTCCCTGTCGAGTTCGCAATTTCGAACCAAGTCGGTCGGTATAACCCAGTGTTTGCACCACAGCGGGTTGGGCTTTTTATTTATCTTGTTTGTTCCATTATTCGTTTTGGAGACCGGGTCGCTGTGAGAGTGCGCTTTTTAGTTGTTGTTATGGCTTATATAATCTTTAACGTTACCGTTATCCTATCGGCTTGTGTAGTTTATATGGATCTACGTTCGTGCGGGTATATGTATATATGTTTGATGTTTGCATGTATGTATGTATGTATGTATGTATGTACGTACGTATGTATGTATGTATGTATGTATGTATGTATGTATGTATGTATGTAAGTATGATTCTGTATGTATGTATGTATGCATGCATACATGCTTGTATGCGTGCCTTTCTATATCTATATAGATACACACACACACATATATATATATATCCATTTGCGTGCATATACACTTGTAGCATATTTACATATCTATTGGCACTGCCACCTACACATTGACCAAGAAATCTCAAACTACATAAAACATCGTTCACTATGTGCGATACGACATGATCGATCACAGGGTGCCAAGCACGTACACTCTACACTGAACTTTCATTCTATGAGAAGACGTAATCTGTAAATAAACACGTATGGCATATTATCTAAAATGCACTGCCCTACGAGTCAAAAGTATATACGACTAAAAGGAACAATTTTTTCAGATCTATTATTCTATTAACGGATCCGTTTTTTATCCCACAACATAACGAGCCCGAAACCACACATAACTTATTTTGATACATACACATCTACTCACACATGTGTATATATATAAACATATGTATGTTCTTTGTTACATGCATACACAGACATAAAGAACATAATATATATATATATATATACAAACATTTACATACGATATATGTATATATACACAATACACATCGTATGCATGAGTATATATATATATATATTTATTTATTTATTTGTTTTTTATGTCTGTAAACGTAACTATAGACAAAGATATGTATGTATGTACAGATACATAAATACTCATACTATAAAATAGGCTTAGAAGTGTATGCCACGTATATTTACTAACTTTTGTGTTTATGTGTGTATATATATATATATGCATGTCATGAATGCATATACACATATATGCATATGTATACACATATATATATATGTATAAACGGGTGCATTTCTTGTACGACAACATGGTGATGTAGATTCATACACTACGAGTATCATATTGCCATAAAGTATACACGACGCTCAATAGTCTAGCCAATCAAAACTCAGGAACCCAAGAACAAATGTGATGGAGTGAAGATGACGGCATGCATACATAGATGTGTATATGTATATGCATATACGTAGATTTATGTGTGTATGTAGGCGTGGGTGTACATATATATGCACATTATTAATATAGAGACAGAGTTGGTACATGAATCACAATGATAAGGTCTTCGGACGACTATATGTTGCCCACACCTTCGCCTATTGAGCTCGCTCACGCGAGCATCTGCATGAAGGCTCCATTGCACGTATGGTAGCACGTTTGTCGCCGGATGTCTTTAGTCTTTGGTACGGCTTGTATGTTTACTTTAACCTATGTTGAATCATGTTCGTATTGTACTTATTGCATATTAAGGGTTGCTATGATAACGTACACATAACAAGCAAGTTTTTTTTGAGTCCGTAACAATACAAATGCTAACAGCCAAACTGTACCATTGATTCACTGACTACACATGTGTATATATAGATACACGGGCACATGTCGCTTTTCGTATTTTCGTACTTACCCTCAACAAGGGATGGAAGTTGGTCAGCATTCACGGAATTGATATATAGCTCACAGCTACAAGCAAAGTTTCCTTCAGCATGCAGCAGCATACGAACATGTTTTCATGCAAAGCCTTCGATGCATCCGAATACTAACATGAAGACATAACCATATATGCGAAGTTTTGATGAAGCGTGCAGCTAGTATTTACCTACGTTTATCTGTATATATTTGATTACATGTGGGGAGTATGGAACACACACACACACACACACATATATATATATATATTCAGACACACATATGCACATGTTTTCTTATGTTGGTCTCCTTGATATGGCAGTAACCTTGCAATTGGTGAATATATGCCATGTATTTTTTTCACCTGTATTATGAAAACAGGGGTGTATATATATATATAGCTATATATAGTAGTGTATGTATGCATGTATGTATGCATGCATGCATGCATGCATGCATGGATGGATGGATGTATGTATGTATGTATGTATGTATGTATGTATGTGTGCATGCATGTGTGTATGTTTGTGTTTTTGTATAAAAATACACAAAACTAAGAAAATAAATATGTATGTGTATATATACCTGGACCCCAAAGAACCTGCCTTTTTAGGGATCCTTATTATGATTTCTTTGTATACGTCCTTAAAAAGGCAGGTTCTTCAGGGTCCAGGTATACATATGTATACGCACACACTCATACGCTTGCACCTTTTTTTGCATGTTTATAGATCTACATGCAATAGGAACAGCTAAGGCTAAGGGTTTATACCAATGGAATAGTGCTGCCGATATTGCAGCATGTA